AATTGCATATGGGAACAAGTTCCTGATTTTCCTTCCCATGTATACCTAATTGGGCGAATTGGTACCACTTGTAAATTACTTAATGTTGGACCTGTATAATTATTCATTTTGAGCAGTATTAATGTTGGTAATGTGGGTGGCACCTTTCCAAGTTCATATATAATATCGACAATTGTACTCATTGCTTCATTTACCAAAACATAATTAGTCTAAATATTTGAGGTCAGCATTATGCGAGCTCCAACTGATAAGAATAAAACTGACTCAAGACCATTTGTCATATCAGATGGTGCTTTTCTAGCATTCAGACCAGTATGTACAGCTTTTATCTTGGCAACAGGCAAATTAAGTTGTCTTAATTTTGTTATATTATATTCATGAACTTTTTCTCATTTGGTAAATAATCAGATTGCATTATCAAAAGTAGTTTTTTCCACCAAAGACACTAATGAATAAATTCTATTATTAAGTAATTTTCAATCATATTCTGTTGGTTGTCCATTCCGTAAGCATAAAAGAAGGTCATGAAAAATATTCTGTTCTTCAGAATCACCACTTTGCCGTTGTATTATTTCTTATTTAAATGCCTTATTAAATTGAGCATAGATCATGCGACCTGCTTTTGAAAGAGAATCATTTGGCCGAAGATCTGAAGCATACATAGGAAGGTCTAAAACTGGCAGCAACTGGCCAAAGTCACCAAAAAATACTACAGAACAGCCTCCAAATAATATATTTTGTTTTTGTGGAAAAGCCTAACATAAACGTTGATCAATTACTGCTAAAAGTCTATGGCCAATCATACTTTTTTTATTAAAAATAATAATTTTAAACCCTTTTAACTTTTGTTGAAGTTTTTTCAAAGATTCAAGATTGAGTTCTAGATTTTTAAAATTAGTAGGTAATGATAGTGCTAAATGAATTGTATAACCATTTATGTTAAATGCCGCTACACCTGTTGGTGCAAGAACCAATATAGGTAGTTCTTCTTTTAAATAAAATTTTATACTCTCATGCTATTTCAAATATACAATAACAAATAGCTTTAATTACATAAGATTTGCCTGTCCCAGCTGTACCCATAATAATAGCTCGTAAAGGCTCAATTGATTGATTATCTAAACTTGATAGAATTTTACAATAGTGTGAAGTTACATAATTATAAATTTGTCTTTGTTTTTCATTTAGTGTAATAGGATCAACAAGAGGCTCATCATTATTTTCATAAAGCATATTTTTACTCTGACTACGTTTAGCTTGCTCCAAAAATAATTCTGTCTCATTAAGATTCGGAAATGCCTCATATGATCATGACTATGTATGGTTGATATCTATATCACATTCACCAAGATTAGTAGTTATAGTTTGTAAATATTTTGTAGCTATTTGCATCCATGGTTCTTGAAGCAATGTATTATCTTTCTCAATTTCTTCATATTCTTCACTATTGCTTTCCCAATCTTCTTTATTATCTATTGGTTTGCCAAGTAAATCATTTCCGTCAAGTTCAATTTCAGTAGAAAACTGATTATATAGTTCAATCCAATCAATATTAGTGCTTTCTTGAGAAAAATCATTCATACTTCGATGAGGAATATGAAGAAGAATTTTTAATCTGCAGTAATCTTTCCATGCTGGTCCAAACTGAACTGATGATGGGCGAGGCTATATTTTAATAATACAATGCTTATCACATGCCGACCAATTATGTGTTTTCATATTATAGATATAATTTTTATTTAAATTAAATAAAGAATATGCTTCAAAAGCAAAAGGACATTCCCAATAGGTTTGTAAATGAGAATATTCAGTTCTAATTGATGTATTATTATTAACTTCATCTTGTTTACTATTGTGTACACTATTATCATAAGTCAATTTACGTAATGCACCATCTTCATTAAGATTGATAATAAGAGATGTACAAGATGATACAACTAATGGTAGTTTAAGAAGAAGGTGTGACGTTTCTTGAGCAGAAAAGTCATGCTCAGTTATCGTATGCAATAAAAGTTTTTGAACTGATTTTAAAGCTGGCTCATCAGATTTTGCATTATCAAGATAATTCGAAAATATTTTACTAAATACATCTGATCAAGGTTCTGATTTGCTAGCATACTTTGCTATATAAGAGAGTGCAGCATGAAGAGAAAGGATAGATTTTATATCAATATTAGCTCTCCAGCCTTGAATTTGAATTCGGGAATATGGGTTAACTAATGGATCATTACAACGTAAAAATAGTTCTGGTTGGCTATTATTATCAAATTTAATTGTAGTAAAATCACATAATTCTTTTGGATAGCCAAACTGACATTTCTCTAAATTTGTATTTTTGTTTAATGCAAGACAAGAAGAAGGTGAGCATTTTGTATACTTGAACCTTATTAATTAATTGACAATAATCGTCAAAATTATCTATTAATTTTTCTACTGGCTTTTGACACGGATGTTGATTAGAAGTATATATTGCTGTATTTGGATTCATTACTGTTACAATTGAATCAATATATTCGACTGCATTTTTTAACAAGTTTTCATCTTGTTGTATAGTTGTCTAGTCAAAACTTGGTGCATTAGAAATTTTCCCAATACCATGCATATGTGCACTTTCTCTGTATCGATACCAATAGTCATTAAGATTCCATTTAGGAATTAATACATGTTTTAAAAACAATTCAAATCGATGCATAAAGAACCATGTTGCTATATGAGGATTCTCATTTAGATTATTATATCATTTTTGAGCAGCTTGCCCAGAGTTAATATCTATATTATTGCATGAATTTGGCATAAGATTATGCAAATCTGGCCAATGTAAATCGGCCGCACTAAATGTAAAAAAGATTAACCCATCTGAGCCAATTTGTTTAATTATATCAATAGGTTCATTATATATTTTTTTCCAATATGGACGTGTTTCACGAAGTATATTGCCATATTGAACAATTTGGTTAGATAGTGAATTATCATTATTAAGTAACTCCTGAATATCTTCTACTGTAAGATATGCATCTTCTAAATTTTGACGTACAAATATTTTACCTTTTTCAAGTGCCCTCCATCTCATTACAGAGTTAAATGCAAAATAACGAAATCTTTTATGCTGTGCAAAATGTCCATCATGATATTTTATCAAATGATTAAAATATTCAGCAGGATATACTTGCTTATAACGTTGTGTACTACATAAGTCAGCTTTTCCTTTCGGAAATAAAGTAGGAAATGCTTTACTTATATATCCAATTTCTTCAAATTCATTAATTGGATTGTTTTTGATTGTAGGCCAATCAATTGATACAGCATTATTTGCATTTGCAAGTTCATTTATTTCAGTATATGTAGCTACTTCTTCAGTCTCTTTAGAGATAGAATTAGGTATAAAGGTATATTTAATATTGTCTTCAGAAATATTAGAATCATTATGATTGACAGATACTGTGTTTTCATTTGTTAAATCTTCGTTATCTATAGTGCATAATTGGTCAAATATAGAACCATCTTCTGGAAGAGTATGCAGTGTATCGTAATCAACTTCAATATTAGAAAAAAAGAATTATTGCTTTTGAGATAATCCAACCAAATTAAAATATTTGATCGTTTAACTTTAAACTCCTGAAATGAAGTAAAATCTTGTCCAGGCTTTCTAATGATCAAAGTATCAATTGTGGAAGGATTTTGTGGTAATTTTGTAATAAACTCTTGAATGTCTTGAGCGAAGTTAATTACATTTCCTTGGTATCCAAGTTGCCCACCTTGAAGTTTATAAACAGTTAGCATTGGAAGAATTTGCGCAATAAGCATTTCTTCAACTTGACTAAGTTGAGGAAGTTCAGCAGGAATTTCTCCTAAAATAAAAATTTTTTAATTTGTAGTCTTTTTATTAATGAATCGGTATATTTCTTACACACCAGGATCCATATCATTTTCAACTGAAAATCTTCTTGGCATTGATTTTTCTCTATTACATCTATTGCACAATCCCGTTTTATGTACTAATACAATATCAGGAAAACTCTCTCTACAAATAGGGCAGAAATTGAATTTAAGTGCAGAAACTGCATTATGAAATTTTTTTAAAAGATTACGATCGTCATCAGAAAGTTGGCATGCAGGTGGTAACGGTAAGACAGATGTACTTTCTAAACATCCATAGCATTAGTTAATAAGATTACATATAATTTGTAATTTCTTGGATATATTAACATTACGTTCATCGCTTGGATTTGTATTTTCTTTTCCACTATTTTGGCGTTTGCGCCGATCTTGTCTTTTTATTGACTCATTATTTCGGTAGCTCAATTGTTCTTCGGGTGTCATAGAAGCTAATCTATTCTTTCGAGCTTCATTTCTTGCCGTTTTTTGTTCAGGTGAATAAATTCTTTTATTTTTTTGCATTTTACGTAGAAGACTTCAAATTATTAATTTAGTAATATTGTATTTTACAGATTATTAATTTTGTATTTTACGTAGTAGACTTCAAAAAATTATTAATTTAGTAATATCGTATTTTACAGATTATTAATTTTGTATTTTACGTCAAATTATTAATCATATTATAATTTTATTAGTCATCAAATATGCAGTTTACTTTATTTATCGTTGACGTTAATGATTAGACTTCCGATTAATTAATTTCTACGGGGGTCGGCAAAATCAGTATTATCATCATTACAGGGGGACATCGGGTAAATCTAGTACACCATAGATAGGTCTTTCACTCCGCTCCAGCCCAATTAATTTACTTATAGGTATGAAATAAAGTTTTTTTTATTTTTTTTTACACAAGGTAATTTGGTGCAGGCGATTATCATGTTGCAGCATAATCATAAGGGATACCGCGGGATGATTGGTGAAAAGGCGAACTTTAATTTTACTGGATAAGCTTATTTTATAAATTGTTAAATTAAATTATAAATAAATCCAGTGAGGATTATTCAAGAACCAGCCTTTCTGAAGGGTGCGAAGAAATTGTATCTAATCAATGAATTACTGTTCCCATGGAAGAAATTGCTGTTGCTGCTGAAAATAAAAAGAATGTCAATTACAGTGGCCAGTGCGAGTTCCCTAAGGGCGACGACTTTTACATTAAGTCTGCTACTTCACCTTCAGGTCTTTCTTCGACTTCCTCTATTCAAAACACGGTCTTTGATGTTGAGCGCGGCTTTTTTGTGGCCTGGGGTGCGGTTAAAGATGGAACAAAGGTTATTATTGCTCCACAAAAGAGTACCACTGAGCATGACGGTTATCAGCTTTGGCATTATGAAGACGGCTTTCTGGTTAATAAACAAACAACCTTATGCCTGGAACCTGAATCAGGTGGGCTATCTTTATTATAGATTAAAAGGTCATCTCTGTAGTAATTCTTCCACCGCACGTTACATAAAATTATGGGTGGAAGTGATCAATGGATATCTACCCGGGAAATTTCTTACTATGACTTCATACCTTTCTATAGTAAAAGCGGGAAGTCGTCTTGTTCTTCATCATAGAAGAAGTGGAAGTCAAACTGCTCAGCAGAAGTGGGTCCTTACCAA